ATTTTATTTATTTTCCAACTAAAGATATTGTACAAAAAAAAAAAAATTTAAGAACCGTTTATAAATATTCTTTCGGCAATATTTGTTTCTGGAACAAAAGATCTTTAATATATGACGACAATGTTATTTAAAAAATTGATATCGCTTAACTTGACTGCACATCCGATATAGATATAGCCTGGAAGATAAACTATTACGTCTCATTTAGGAGTTAATCATCACTGAACAATAAGTGACGTGTGTCTATGGACAATAAAAAGTGAAGTAACTCAATTATTTCATCGGCGTCGAACAGGATTACCTTCGTTCTTATTTTGGAACTCTCGATAGAATGAGATCATTAGCGATTATCAGATGTGTACACGAAACATATAAAATTTTATATAAATACGAAAATTTGAGAGTTTAAAAAAATGCAATACTCATATATTCAATGAATTATTATTGAGTTGTATTATTTAAATACCTATAAAAAGTATTATAAAAAGAACGATCGATTTAAATCTTATATTTATATATATATATACACGATTTATTTTAACTGAATGACATTATAATCCTATATTTGCGGCGAAATTGTGAAAAGAGAGGAAAAGAATTCCGCAAAAATATATTGCGATAACGGGTTGCCATAGGTTAAGGGGCGCTCCTGGAATGCAGTGACTCATAAGAATTTTTTTTTCGTGTAAAAACTGTGACAAAACATTGTTCAGAGTTTCAATCTCATTTCCTCGTGATATACAGATAAATTTTTCTAACCTATTTCATTAAATTGCCGAGCTAAGTTTTACCCAGAAAATAAACTAGCGTTACTAACGAGTTGCACGCTATCTTATATAGAATAAAAGAAACAGTATCACGCCACCACAAATTACATATATTATACTTAGAATTATGTTATATTCGTTAACGATGCCACAAGTGTCGTTAAAGATATTTAAGAACTTCATGTGACAACTTTCAGTTAACTTTCTGCAATTTGGTGAAAAGCTATATAGTTTAGGATTAATAGTTAAAATTAAAGATTACAAAATATTCTTTTGATATATATAATAATAATCATAAATATAATAAACTATTGTATGGAAAAAAATTAATATATAACTGGTATATAATATTGAAAGATTGTCTGAGAAACTTTAACGGACAGCATATTTTTACCTTTCCTTCTGCATAGTTTCTTTACAATCGGAATATTAAACGTTCTGTATTACAATTCGATAAAAAAAAAATAGCCGATGATTCGGCACGCACGCGATCATTTTTCTTTCATGCGTAACAGGATACCGCCAAGTTAAGTCACTCGGACGGTGCGTTTAGGAGCCAGCGATGTTCGCTATGCGTAACCCGAAATGGCTTGGCCGTCAGCAGGCGGCAACGATTCTTGCCGCCCTCCTCTCGCTCTTGATACGTAAAAATAACCCTCGCTTGCGATACGCAAGTTTTTGGATCAGAGAAACATGTGTTTCGACAAATCAAATTTCGCTGGTCTCTCTCGGTCCAACTTTCGATTTATAGCAAAAATTCTTCATCATGTTCTATTAATTATTATTACAATGAGAGAGAAAGAGAAAAAGAAAGAAATTTCTCATAACTTTTATTTGTAAAAACATTGTAATACCGACGAGAAAACGCAAGAGAAATCGACAAGCTCAATCATACTGATTGTCTCTTCTCGTACTTGTTTTGTCAACCACGCGTAAATATTTATAAAATCGACATATGATTATTATGTGATTATGATTATATGACATGGCATGTCTCGTTTAACTTCGCAGAATCTTTCGGTTAGTATTTCTGCTGCTTTAAACATTGCGCCAACTACATTTCTCTTTCGTTGCTTACCCAGCATCTCTGATTACCAGCTGGCTTGGAATCCTGCGCGTATATTCACTTGGATAGAAGATAGCAAGGATGCAAAAATGCAGTTCAACCATGCAATTGCAATGGCGCAGGCGCATAGGATTCCTGTAGTTGTAGTTCTTTGACAGATATTTCAACACGCATTGATATGAAATGACAATTTTTCATTACTCGTTTTATTTATATCATTCGTAATATTTCGTATATTTTTATACTTGGCAAAATGTAAAAATCATTAATGGTTCTATAAAAAATAAGAAAAAATAAGAAAGATTATATAAAGATCAAATATTTGTGCAAAATAATAATGACAATAATATGATAATAAGAATAATATAGGAATAACTTTCAAGTGAAAAAACAGGTAAAATTAAATTATTGTAACATGTGTTTCGAGTGATTAGTATCATTAACATCAAAATCCCATTCATCATTTCATATCACTATCAATGTTTGTCAGGTCATTTACAGTTGGCATTTCTCCTTTAAATGTATCGTAAAGAATTGTTCCGTCATTGAATTTCAAACCATGTGGCGATACTGTCTCAAGACGGAGTCTCTTCACGGTTATTCGTGGCTACTCGTAAAATGATTTCATCGAGGGAGGTAAATGGCGCGTGCGTCCCTGGCGCGTCTTCGTCCTCTTGGTCGCGCCATAAAGAAACGTCCCGCCGTTCAGGAACGGCCGTATAAACTACGGATGCAGTCGCGACAGATTTTTGTTCCTGCACATACCGGGAACCGCATACCTGACCAACGTCACATCACGAAACAACGGAGCGAGGATGTTTGATATCGCGCGCGCGAGCGAGCCTTTCTTCACCGGCCCGGGCCTTCCTCAGCGAGAAGCCGACTCTATAAATAGGATATCCGGTCGCTCGCTAATTATACACGCCTATGCGCGCCCGTTTGCCGAATGGCGAATCCGCGCGAAAGGCGCCCAGAATTTTCTCAATCGACGCGAGAGAATCTTATTTCCGCGCGTTTCCTTACGTCTCGTATCTCCCTCTTAAGCGGGGAGCACACACTTTTGTATAAGCGCATAATCATAAGCATAAGGAAATTGATTGGTCCATTTCGTTATGCATAAGGAAATGGACCAATCAATTTCCTTATGCTTATGATTATGCGCTTATGCAAAAGTGTGTGCTCCCCGCTTTATCCTTGAAACGCCGTCGTAACAGAAAGGATAACGGCCCGATCGTGCGAGAGACGATATATCCTACGGTCAATATTGCTGCGAAGCGGCAGGTCGCATTCCTCTCTTCGGACCAAGAAAATTACTGCCCGCAAAAAATGGAATATAGTTAATCGCTCATCGGAGCGCCTTAGGATTCGGTTAGCACGGTACAAAAGAAAAGAATCTTAACGCTAATTGGATGCCCATGGCTAATTGCCGTGGTGAAATAATCAATGACAATTTTTTCCTGAGTCACTATCAAGTATAATTAATAAAAAGTATTATGTTATCGAACTTAATAATTCGCCTGATATGATGTAATAATTCTTATTGATGTAAAAGGCATATTTTTCGAATCGATATAATATTTTAGTTTTACAGTATATTTTTTTTATACACAATTCTTTACAACCGTATAAATAATCATCAAAAGATAGTATCTATATTTTAGTATACGTATATAAATACCTGCATGTAAATACTTGAAAAAAAAACGTGTAAATTCCATCGTAGATTTCATTTAATTAATTTATATTTTCGATGTTACAGATTTACTTCTAGTGAACGAGTGAAGAAACACAAATATCACCATGGACGCGATCAAGAAGAAGATGCAGGGCATGAAGCTAGAGAAGGACAACGCGATGGATCGCGCGTTGCTCTGCGAACAGCAAGCTCGCGACGCTAATGCACGAGCTGAAAAGGTACAAATACTGCTTAAGAAAATAATTTTATTCAACTTTTATTCATTTATACAAACAAATGTACATTAAATTAAACAATGCCTTCCTAAAATAGTTGCGATAATGTCAAAAAAGATAGTGAAATGATGTTCACTTACACAGGCTGAGGAAGAGGCTCGTGCTCTCCAAAAGAAGATCCAGACCATCGAGAACGAGCTTGATCAAACTCAGGAAGCTCTTATGCAGGTCAACGCAAAATTGGAAGAGAAAGACAAGGCTCTGCAAAATGTAAGTCAAGCAAACATTGTTGTTATGTTACTCGGCAAACGAAAAAGTGTTCGGCATTGTTGTCCAATCTATTCTACGCTCAAGCGAGAAATAGATTTCATCTACAAATTTATTTTAGTTTAGTCATGAAGCTCAAATATTTGTATGACGAACGATCTTACTTTCTGATATTCTGATATATTCGCAAATATTCTGTACACGAGAGACTTGAGTTGCCCTCATCAAATTATTTATACAGCGTTATTAATATGAAATTCGGATGACATTCAAAAAATTATAAATCCTGGAAAATGTAAAGAGAAATATTTGGTTTTCGCGTTTCACATTTGTATTCGCACGAAAAAAATAAGAAATATGACTCAACTTTCTTTCTATGAAAAGATCCACAAACGAGATAAAACATTTCACTTGGCAAAATCAAATTTTGTACTAAGAATTAAACCAATACGTGTAAGGTAATATTATACAAACAAATCTGAATTCGTGCGTTAAATGTTGAGAAATCTCATAGAATCGAACAGAGGACTTCTTGACCGAGATCTTCCCAAAGTTAGCCCCCCCCCCCCCACTTTCACTGTTGGGAATTTTGTTTACCAGTTGTTTGATGGTTGATTGGTATTTGTTTGGTACCGCATTCAAAACGTTTAGTAGTTGTCCGTTTTTTTTTAGAAAATCGTCAACAAATTTTTAACCTTTCTTTAGCCCTCCCACTTTGACAGTTGGGAATTTTTTTTTCAAACAGATTTTCCAGCAGTCATAATTGGAAGGGGGGCTAACTTTGGGGAGATTTGACCGAGTCACAAGGGAACGCAGCACAGCATGCGCTGCGGTCCAAATTACCGACAACTTCACAGTGCAAGTGCGCGCTGACCGATGGCGCCACTAAGCTCGCGCAAGCGCAATCTTTGCCGAAAGAGCGGCGCGTCCACTTGTCCTTTACCAACAAACAGCACAGTCCGTGATATGCGTAAATTCCGCGTCGTCCGCTCGGAAATCTTCGGATCTCCCCCTACCCGCGCCGCTGGAACCGCGGCGGTGGGGGCTTTGCTCTCGCTCGCTGTACGCGCGAGCGAGACAGACACACAGTGCGCCCAGTGCACGGCGTGGTTCAGCGCGTTACGTTTCTCTTGCGTCGCGCGTGTGGGTGAGACGATATCACACCGGCACACTGTACGACGTGACGCGAGGAAAAACGTGCGCCGCGATCAGTGACAGACAAAATGGCGGAGTGCCTGGTGCAGTGGTAGTAGAGCGGTGCGTATCGCGCGGACTACGTCAACGTGTGCGACGTAAAGGGGAGGGGGGGAGGACGGAGGGGTTAGATGTAACGAGAGCCCGACAACAGCTGGTCGGTAACCATGGAACGGGCGCTCTCGACGACAACGAGACGTCGCGGTCACCAACACCATCCGCGACACACCACGCGTCGACGTCTCGACGCCTCCAGCAGAGGACCCGCGCAGTGTGGCCCTGCTGGTACCATCACAGACACCACCGACGACGAGACGTCGCTCGCCGGGGTGACCGTCGACGCGGTCGACTGTCGTCTTGGTACGACAGAATCCCCCTGTCCGCCCGTGTCGCGTGTCACGCTCGACACCAGGTGGCTAACGAGAATCAGCGAGACCAAGACGAAGGATACGAGAATCAAGATCGACGAGAACGATCGTAGAGACGATGACGTTCGACAAAGGCTCGCGCAGTGTAGCCTGGACGTTCCCGCGCTCGGCGAGAGCAAAAATGCCTGCGAGAGACGCGACGAGACGACGAGTAAGAAGAAGGAGTCCTCTCGATCCAGCGAGGAAAAGGCTCCCGATGATCGCGAGAGCGATCCGCGGAGTAAGAGCAACTCGCCCGAGCCCGAGCACGCGGTCGCGAGGGCTCGCGGTGACGGGAACTCCGACGACGAGTCGGCCAACGTCGAGGAGGACCCGGAATTAGCTGAGCTGGCTAAGCTACGTTGCCCCAGCGAGCGAGCGGAGGTCCAGGCCGAGAGGGAGGCCCGCAGACGGAAAAGATGCGCCGATTATCCCGGGCTCGCTTTCGGCTGCTCCATATTCTCCAGCGACACGATGATGAAGTTCAGTTTGATAAAGAACGAACTGCAGAATATCATGGGCAATCAGCTGAAGCGGGTCAGTATCGCGCACGTCATAAGACGATGAATGACAATGTATGGCCAATAAACGGCCGGTAGGTAGGTAGATAAACGCGATCAAGGTCGTCACGTGGCGAGACCTTGATAGCACCGGTCAAGAGGTCATCAGGGTCGCGTGCGATAACGTGGATTCAGCTAAAACGCTCTGAAATCGAAAAGACTTTATTTTCTTTCCTCGAATATTCTCGTCGAAATTGATTCTTGAAAGTTTGATAAAATGCGATGACTTATTCTCTTGAGGAAGATTAATCAAAAAGTCGACGCTAATGAAATATGGACGAAAAGGCAGTAAATAACAAAATATCGGAATATAATATAAATTATTCGATTTTATCCATTCGATGCTCCGTTAAATTAAAATTATTTATTACAGTTTCTATTATCTCGAGTATTTACATTATCTCACCTAAAATAGAGATAATTTATTCGAACAATACGCGAAATATTTGAATTTCGGACTTTATTTGAGTGTGATATAAATATTCGAGATGAGATAAAAACTGCAATAAATAACTATAATCTAACTCGAATCTAAATTCGAGTAACAGATGAATATTTTTGGTATTCAAATATAGAAAAATTTTCCCTCACTTTTCTAAATAAAATCTAATTAAAGTGTTAAAAAACGTAATGATATAAATTTCTCTTAAGGGGATCCTTAAGAGGACGCCGGACTGTCCTGTTTTACTGGCCATAATAATTAATATTTGCTTAATATAAAAGTTTTGCAGTTTGTATGTCCAAAATGTGCAAAATTTTGCACACCGAAATGTTTTTTACTAAGCTTCTAAATACATTTTTAAACGTTCACCTATATTCTTTCATGCAATTCCGAAGACGAAGTTATTCTATTTTGGGCATACAAACTGCAAAACTTTTATATTAAGCAAATATTGTTACGATCTGACGCAAGAAACCGGTAAAAAAAACTGTAATTTTTTAGTTTCTTTTTGTTTTTAACATAAACTCGTGAAGTCTCATCTTTGTTTCAATACTTAAATCGTGGAAAAAGATTTATTTAAAGCTAGTTTCCCACGATGCGATTTTTCGTGCAAGTTTACTCGCGAGGAGCCTTTCCTGCGTCATTTTTCAAAATTTTTTTTTGAGGAGCAGCGCACATATTATCATCCGTTTCATCCGCTAAGCTAGCTTTGCATCTCGCTCCGTGTGAAGCGAAAACCTGCAGCGCGCCCAGCTTAGCTTTATGTAATGTAAAGCGCAGGGCAGCAAGCAGCAAATCATGCATGCTATCCAACACGAAAAATCGCATCGTGGGAAACGGGGTTTATTCTATTCAACTAAAAAAAAAAGATTTCGATGTGCAAAATAATAATCTTTTGGTCGGTAAAACAGACGAGAGGTTGCTCTCAAAGCGCTATATTGCCCGGCAACAAAGTTCAACGTATACGAGAGATGTCTGTTTGATATAGAATATTAAAGTATCTCTAGAAGTAGATGACCGCTTCTTTGTAGGATTAGGTGCCTCTCGGTCCTCTTATTAAATTGTAGTTCCAGCATACGTGGAACTTTGATATTAAATTTTTAAACACGATACAACGTGAACGCAATTTAGGTTTATAGATCCGTTCTTCAACCCACCGCACGTGGTGTTGCAAACTGTTTTCGTCAGCAGTCCACGCTCTAAACACACTTTCGAAGCGATACACGCGAAGCAAGGAGGGAAACTGAAAATATCTACTTGAAAAGATCGTTGAGACTCTGGAGTGTAAGCACTATAAGGAAAGGAGGTCAAGCGTCGCCGATTCTCGATAAAATACTCACGGTATAGATGTCGTCGAGGACACCCGTGGCTGCCACCACCCAGCCGGTGTTCAGGTTGCTGCTATAGTACTCGATATTGTAGCCGACGATCTTGCTCTGGCCCTCGTGGCCCGGGCTCCACGTCAGGGTGACCGAGTTACTGGTGGCGTTAACTATTCGCGGCTTGCTCGGATTCTGCGGCAGCGCCGACATGTCGGGCGTACGGTGAAAGCTGGCGCCGGAACTCACTGTCAGGTAGGCCGACCACGAGGTGTTGCCGGACCGTCCTGTTTTACCGGCCATAATAATTATATATTTGCTTAATATAAGGGTTTTGCGGTGTGTACGTGCAAAATAGGATACCTCTCCACTCGGAAATGCATGAAGGAATATAAGTGAACGTTTGAAAATGTATTTGAAAGCCTAGTAAGAAACATTTCGGTGTGCAAAATGTTGCATAGTAAAATCTTTTTTATAAAGCTTCTAAACTCACTTCTCGAAGTTCACTAATACTCTTTGATAAAATGCCGAGTGCGGAGTTCACTTGTTAGGCACGTGCAGGTTGCAGGTTTTTTATATTAAGTAAATGTTGACGGCAGAAGCCGATAACAAAACTGTAATTTTTTAATTTTTTTTTTACTTTTCATATGAAATCATAAACCCCGCACTCCGTTATTATGTATACTTTAATTATGGAAAAGGATTTGTTGATATCTATAATCAACAAAAATATTTTGCAATCCTACTAATATTCGCATTCTGTCGGTATCCGGCATCCTCTTAATTCCGAAAAAAGATTTAGTTTCTTAAATTGTAAGTAAAGTACTTAATTTAGTTTACTAACTTCATTCGATTCTTTAGTTATTATTTGATCGATACCAAGACAGTGTAGATAAAATATCAATTTGATTCCAGATCATTAATCGCAATAATTAACGCGTTTTTCGCTTTTCGTCAATATTCTAGAGATATAAGCCGATTCATAAATAAATTAAAATTTCATCAGAAGAAACGCCTCGGGCGATAGCCAAGAGAGTTCCTAGAAAGGTTAACGATGCGTTAGTTAGTACATACAAGATCCTCTTGGCGACGGGCAGCATTTATTATTAGGGTTACTGAACGGGGACAATGGGTTACGCGCACATGATTCTCGTGCTCAATACACCGGTAGAAAGTCGTCGTAAATTAGATAATGCATCATGCACTGTGTCTGTTCTAACTCGAAAGGACTTGTCAGATTATTTCTTTCATATCAACGTTTATTTAGTTTTACGAAACTTTTTTTGTCATGGTGGGGTTAATACGTCACATGAGCTTTCTCAAAAGCCAAATTGATCAATTTCTTTTTTTGCAAATTTCGCATGATTAATGCTCCTAAACTAAAATTAAGAAATGAAAAAAAACTGGTGTCGTTCAGTTTGTCATCTGAGAGATTCATCTATGTCATATATTTTGTCTCTACTTTAGTTTTAAGTTTTGTTTTCTGCTAGATAATGCATCGCATATTGAATTCAAAAAGGCTATTCGCTTTCTATATTTCTTCTTGAAGTAGAAATCGACACGTCATAACGTCGCATATTGTGTCAATTATAATTCAAGCATAAACGTTTTATTCAGTTCCTCTACTATCGTATAATGCATCACGCGTTATGAATTTTGATTTGAACAGGACGTCAATTTACTCGTTGCAATTGTTTTCGTAGCTCTCTTTGTGCAATCAATATTCGTATGTGGTGCCGCTCTACGAGCCATATTTTATTAGTTATTGTTCATGAAAAATTTTATATTATATTTATTAAAAATTATTAACTATTATCAAAGAATATATTATACATGTATATGAATAATCAATTAAGACAAACATCATTCGATCACGCATCCATTTTCTTGGAAATGTCTTTTTTTGGAAATTATACTTGACACCAGGAAAACTTTCTCTATTTTATCAATTTTTCTCTAATTATATATGTTTCTCTAAAAAATGGACAGGTCATCATCTATTTTTGATTCTAGAAGAATGTAAAGCACCTAATAATAGCTGGAATTGAAAAAAGCCAGAACAAAAATATCTCTCTCGCTTGCGTCAATAGCTGCATTAAAGCATATCAACCGCATATAATAGGGTACACCGCATTACGGTATATCGAATCATAGGATATTGACAGGTATTATATGATGCTTCGATGCCATCCGGGATCGTGACACTAATCTTACTTATAGTGCATAAAACCAGTCAAGAAAAAAAAAATAACGGTAAAAGGAAGATAAAAAAAGATCATTTTATTTAAAATGTTTGCGTAATTCTTTATCGAGAGATATTTTGTTTCTTGACTTGGAAATCTTATTAAAACGTTAAATGTTTAAAGTTCATCAACGAATTCTGTATTTTTTATCCTGAGAGAATCAAATTTATTCTAATAATCTGTCCTTATTTTCTTGCCGATAATATCCTGTTAAATAAAGTCTCGACGATGATTGACACTTCTTACTGATCGCCGTCATCGGATAATGGGAACCCACGATCCCCTACGGGATGTTCCTCTCGACGATGCTTCCGTCGTTCCTTTTTTTCGGGGCCCCACCCTTTTATATACAAGTTCGGCGCGCCTGCACAACCTAACACGCAATTCGTCAACATTCTAAAAATACATTACGGCCGTGATCCAGCGAGCAAGAAACTTTTATTCGGGACTACGAGATCGGATTGCGTAAGCTCTCGCGGAGTCTGTGTCTGTGAATAAATCCGGTACGTTATATGCGCGTCTCGAAAACGCACCGCTGAAAATCAGCTCTAGTGCAAAACGCCTACGCGATATCAAGAATATCGAACATACGGCGATTCTATTTCGCATTTCGCGAGCGAAAATCTTCCAGTATCTGTATCATATATTTTTTTTCAAATTAATTAAAATTATCGGATGCTAAGATTATTATTGTTTTATTATTATTTTTTTTTTTTGTAGGATACCGAGATTATTATTATATTTTATTTTTTGAGAATGTGAATATATGTATCATTGAATGCTAATCACGTTTTATTCGGATATAAAAATGTGAAAAATGCAAGAACTTATTCTAATTATACTTTCTGTATTCGCGTTCAAGTTTGTAAGCCAATTTCATGCATCATTTTTCACATCTTTATCACTGACAAAATGTTTTTTTAAGAGCCTCGAGCTTCTCTGCATGACAATATAATTTCTCACACTGTTGGAA